TGGTTTGTTCCTTTTTGCACACCACACACAGAATGATTAAAGGGGTAGAAAAAGCCCCCCCCCCTGTGTTGGCTGTCTCCAGCAAGCACATCATTGCTAGCACCACTCTGGCAGGCACTGATGATGATTAAATCCTCTGCGAACTAGCAAAAATTTAACGCAACTTGCTAGGCACATTAGACACCTTACTACTCCCCATACCACCCCATGTCTTTCAGCAAAAATAGTGCACATTTTTATTAAATTTGGTGCATCCTGCTAGTTCGGTACACAGCCTGTGTAGATTCAATAATATTTTGAATTCAAATAATGTATGATTTCCTTCCTTTCAAATCAAGGGGGTAATGTTGGCATATGTGAATTTTTGGGGGGGGGGGTAAAGTAAAAAAAAAGTTCTCTCACCCCTGCTCTAGTTAATAATAATTTTAGAACTGCAGAGCTGGAAGGGACCCTGTGGGTCACTGAATACAGTCCCTATCAGGAAGGCACAGTGGGGATTTGAACTTCCAACCATACCTAACACACTAAGCCATCCAGCAGTTGTAGGATTGCAATTCCCGTGTGCCTTAGGCAGCACTGTGAAAGGAGAAGAATCTTGGACAACAGCATCTGAAAAGTCAAACCACGCTATCCCCAACACAGTTTAGTTTAAAGATCTGCTCACCCAACTGCCAGATCCATTAACTATCAGGCTTTCATCGAGCTCCACAGTCTGGACACATAGAGGTTTCCAAGATGCCCATCCTCATAACATACAGTGGTTTAGCTATATGGGACCAGTGTGATCTGTGTCAGTTGTGTAGCTTGCTTCCAAACACAAGTGTCCTATAATAAGATGTACTGGTCCTCTCCCCCTGCCCCCCAGTATTTATTATTTATTTATTTATTTATTATTCAATTTCTGCCCCACCCCTCTAGACAGAGTCTACTCGGGGCGGCTTACAAAGAAGAATAAAATATTATGCTTCTTTCAGTTTCCACACAGCATTTCTTGGACTGAACACAGGGAATGGGCAAGAACAATCTTCATTTCTGTGGGAATGAACTCTCGGGCTACAGCCCTAGACATGCTTAATAGGAAGGAAGACCCACTGAACACAGTGGAAGTTAAAAGACTTAGAATCTAACTAAATAATGCACAGAACTATGGTGCCAATCGTGATTTCTCAAAGGCAGCCATGTCAACCTGGAAGAGTCTGGAGTTAGTTTTAAAAAAGGAACTTTTCCAAATGAGGTTATTGAGTCAATGTAGTATAAGGCATAGAAAGTCCGATTAGGACTGGGAAGACTTAGGTTCAAAATCCCAACCAGCCATTAAACTTCCTGTGTTACATTAGGAGAATCGTCAACCCTGACCCAAACCTTCCTTGTCAGATTTGTGTGAGGATAAACCAGAGGAGGAAGAGTCATGTGACAATGAGTTGAGTTCCCTGAAGAATGTGCAGAGTTATTACTATTATTATGACTGGGACATTGGGACATGAAATGGCAGCTGATGGGGAAAGGCAGACTTCTTATAGTGAGAGCACACTGTAATCATATCTGACAGTCTAGCCATTTTTTTCTTCATGCACCTTGTAAAACTGACAGAAAACACAAGCCATATTTACACTAATGTTTGCAGCTTCTATATAATTCTCAGCCTATGCAGAGGCAAGACATTTTTTTGTTTGCAGCAGGAAACTTCACTTTACAGTATTCTACTCCATTGTCTAAATTCAGCCTTCCACATTCTCCAGACCTGGCTAGGTTTAGGCATCTGAGTGCAGAGCCAGAGGTTGGGAGTTGATTTCCCACTGTGCTCCTGTAAGTAGAGTCAGCCTCGGGCAAACTACAGAATTGCAGGGAACTTCCCAGAAGAAGGGAATAATAAACCACTTCTGAGTATTTTCAACGTGGAAAACCCTGAAAAGGGTCACCATGTCAGAAGTAACTGGACCACATGTAACCCATATGAAATATTGGTTCAGCCCAAAGGGGTGGGACTATGAAAGAGCAAGGCTGTGAATAGGAGGCTTAAATCAGAAAGAGTGGGAGAGCTGAAGAGGCCAGAGCTGCTGTTGCCCACTGCTAGGCTCTTGCCAATTTGGTCTAGGGCATTGGTGTCCAACCTTGGCCCTCCAGATGTTCTTGGACTTCAACTCCCAGAAGCCTTCACCACCACCTCTGCTGGCCA